GTATTCCCATTACATCATAACCCCATGTGGCAACTTGAGCCTGCAGCTCACCAATCTTATTTATCACACTCCGTGCATTTACGCACATGCACTCCAAAACCGACTGAGTCTGCTCTGCATTTCTTCCCCGACTAATCCCTCCTTTTTCTGGACTACTCGTTATTACATTGCTATGCATCTCTCTCAGCCTCTATGTAATTTGTTTCTCCTCCCCAGATGCTACATCCTGATTCTCTTCCTCCCTCGAGGTTAGTTTAATCCACAGCACCGGTAAACGTCATTGCGAGAACATTGGTCCCAGCCCTGTTCAGGTGTAATTCATCCACCCTGTCCCATCTGTTCCAGAACTGGTCCTGAAGCCCTCCTTTCTGCACAATTTCTCCAGCCATGCATTCCTGTGTTTGATCCTACTGTTTTGATACTCACTTGCTTGAGGCACTGGGAGTAATCCAGAGATCACCACCTTTGAGGTCCACTGTGCATCCATTTGCTAGTTGGGGTCCAGCGCATGAGCAACGATCTTGGAGCAATCGTTTACTGGAAATTTCTGTGTTTTTTGTATGTGTGTTTCATGTAACTTAATGCATTTGGCTCATTTTAGTAGATGTTTGATGTGTGTTAGGGGATGTGTAGAGATTTGCCTCGGTTGATAATGCAGTGAGTAAACAAGACTTCCATTCAATCAAAAATAAACTTTTTTTTTTGAAAAAAAACGCTTTGTCTCTTCTGGTTTGTTCTGACAAAATATGATCGAAGGATGAGACACTGATACATTCTCCTCTTGTATCTGGCAAAATCTTCTGATAACCATTTTATGTTCAGACCACTTATAGAAAAAGCCTGAAGCTGCTAATCTCCAGGAAACCCCCCAAATTTATCTCATCCTAGTGCTCAAATCTCCACATTCGTCAATATTCTAATCCCACACATGAGGCTTCAACCCACAACGTTCTGATTCAGAGGCGAGAGTGCTACCACTGAGCCAACCTGACACGTTAAACTAAGGTTCCATCTGTCTGTTCAGGTAGATGTTAAAGTTCCCATGGTACTATTCAAAAAGGGAACAGAGTCTCTTTCCCGGTGGGATGCCAACAATCCTCCAAATAAAATTTGTCACTCCCATCGTGACGGTTTGTGGGACATCACTGTGCAAAATTGGCTGCCCGGTTTGCTCAAAAAATATACAGTCACCTACACTTTCCAGTAGTGTCTAAAGAGAGCATTGGCTCTGGTCTTTTCCGAAAGGATAGGAACAGATGCTTTCTCAAAGCTCCAGCTGATCTTCAAAATGACTACTTTCACAAACTGGTAGTTTGAGCAAACTTAGTGTATTCTCCCACCCTAAAAAAAAAGAAATTGAATTTGAATAAGAACCCTGCTAAACCTTGCATGTTCATTGGCTATGTCCTCCTGAGATGAAAGGCATTATACGAATGTAGTTTTGTATTGTATTGTATCTCACTCTTGTATCACAGTGACCCTCAATTACTTTGACAGAGAATTGAGTGCTATTTAGACCCCTTGAAGTGATCCTAACTCCACATAACATTTGGCCATTGCTGCCCAGCAGGAGGCGACACTCTCTCGGTTTATGTCTGTGGTGTGTGGCCATGTGGCCCGCGGAGCCATCAAGAAGCAGCCCATCCACCTGGACATTCACATAGATAAGTTTGTGTTGGATCCCTGTGTTTTCTGTTTTTTCTTGACTGAATATTTCTTGATTAATGGCATAAAGTTTGGGAAACACTCGTTAGCTATGTCCCTCCGCTAATACTGCCCCAGTAAATCTTTCACTTATCTTATTCACAACACAGCTAGGATCCCATTCAGTGCAGGGCACGGCTTTTCCATTCCCCTCTCTCGAACCCTCTGTATTACTTCACACTTTTCCTCTTGGATCCAAAGGTTATATTGCAAACGTTCAATTTCTGTTTGAACTTTGGCTCCAGGATTTTGTGTTTGTTGGAAATTTCTAACTTAGTGACGTGACATTGAGTTCCGGAGCGCAGTGGCTGCGTTGTCCAGGTGCAGAGTGCATCAGCCGTGCCTCATCCCATAACTGTGTCCACATCACCAGCGTGAGACTGTCACTATTGTTGACTGTTTCCCAAGATCTTTATCAGTATTTCACGGTCATCAGGAACTGGTCACAACTGCCTTGTTCCTGAGCGCAAAAACATGATAATAATATCACATCATTGAGACGTCTTATAATATAATAATAATAATACTTGCACTTGATATAGCGCCTTATCACATCTTTGTGACATCTGAAAGCGCTTCACAGCATATACTGTGTAATGACTGTGTATTTTATGATTAAAACGCGAAAGCCAATTGCTCACACCAGTGTCCCACTGTTTCGTGGATTGAAAAATACTGTCATGAAGTGAGGTGGGCGAAGACCTGAGGTCACAGTGAGAGCCAGACATTATGGTCTGGCTCTAGTTGAATCAGATATCCTTCAGGCTGAATCGGGTTTGGCAGATATAGCCCAGAGCCTGACCAATCTTGAGGTGCCAGTCAGTAAAGGTGTGCTCATCTCCTCACACACTGCAGCCACCATTTTTACAGTGACTCTTAATGCATTTGGCTCATTTGGTAGAACTTCTCACTTCGGGATCAGAAGGCTACGTATTCAAGCCACACGTTGGCACTGTGAACTCATATTCCAAGTCAGTGTTGGGAAAAGCGCTGTGGTGTAGGAGGTGTCACACTTTGGAGACGATGTTAAACTGAGGTCCTGGCTGTCAGGTGGACTTTAAACTTCCCACATAGTACAATAGAATTGATAGACATTTATAGAGCGCTATCACATCGGGAGGATGGCCCTGGGCAGTCCAAGGTGAGCACTTGAGCTGAGGGTGCGGTCGAGGGGCTGAGGGGCTTGAGGGCAAAAAGAGGAGGGTCCTGAGATAGACCTTGAAAGAGGTGAGAGAGAGGACGAGGTATAGGAACTCAGGAATGGAGTTCCAGAGAATGGGGTAGATAGACCAAAAGCCTGAATAGAAATTGTAGGACGGGCGAGGGAGGGGTTATGAGGGAGTGGGCAGTTGGTAAGGGTTGACCAGGTCGAATAGCTGGGGTGGAGTGAGACCAAGAAGGGAGGAACTTGAAGGTGAGTATGAGGATCTTGAACTTAATCCTCTGGGGGATGGGGCCAGGCGTGAATGGGGTGATTGGCTTATGGTGCTCGGTGCAAGAGAAGACACAACCTAGATGGTCTGAAGCTTGTGGAGGGGAGTTGGGAAGTCCGTGGAGTTAGCGTAGTCAAGCCTGGAGGTGATGAAATTGTGGATTAGGGAGGATCTCAGCGACAGACAACTGGTCAGGACAGCAGTGCCTGGAATCAATGATGGAGAGACATAACACTATTGAAAAAGAAAAGAGTTTCTCCTGGTGTCCTGGCCAAGGATTCTCAGTTAGTCATTCACTTCCAGGTTGTTTGTGAGACATTGCTGTGTGCAAATTGGTTGCCACATTCACCTCCAATTATACAATCACTACATTTTAGAATTAAGGAAAGCACTTTTGAGAAGCTTTGATTTTAGAAAATAATCACGGTCACTCCACTTTACAGTAAATACTGTGAAACGCTTTGGGATTTCCTCATCATGTGAAAGGCGCTTTATTCTTTTTTTGGAAATCTTTTGCAAGTGAGGAGCTCTCGCTGGGTCCCTGAGCTGCTGCTGGGCACCAGGGGTCTCCAGCCACAATGAGCCTTCAACAACAGCAACAGCAAATTACATGTGCTTTGCGCCTTTCACATCCCAAGAACATCCCAAGGTGCTGGACAGTTAGGGATTTGGACCCTAGCAGGAGGTTGAGATCAGGAGGGGTGGAGGTCAGGGAGGGTAGGGATAAGAGGGTGACCTAAGGCGCGGTCGAAGAGGAGGATCTAGCAAGGTGAAGGGACTGTGGTATGGAATGAAAGAATGGCTGAAGGTCTGACCACCAATGATGGGGTGGGTCAGTCGGGGGACGTGGAGTGATTGAGCCGAGGAGAGAGGGGAAGTGATGGGAGACATGGAGGGAAGTTTTTAGGTGTCCTCTGAACAGGGGCAAGGCAGAGAGTTCCAGAGTATTGGGCATAAAACCACAGTCACCGATGGTAGAGGGGACAAGGGACATGCAGGAGGCTGGAGCTGGCTGAGTGAGCACACAGGTCAAGGAGACCCTACGGTAACAGAAATGGGAAGGGGTGAGTGGATCGATTAGACCAGTCAAAGAAAGTTTTCTGTATTCTTATTTGCAACAAGACTCCCATAAATACAGCAATGCTCAGACCCGGCAGAGGCAGCCCTGCAGGAACTATACCCTGATGGTTGATCTCTTGTCTTCTCAATGAGACTTGGTGGTTTAGGGAAGTCCTCAAACCTCTGCAACCTCCTCTTTCTGCATTGTGTTTGTGCTGGTGCTCGCTCTCTCACTGGAGATCTCAATTCTAATCTCATCCCCTGCTCTCCCCATAACCTTTAATATTATTCTTCCACAAATATTTATCCTTTTCCCTTTAAAATGCTGAAAGGCACAATATCAACAGCAATTGTTTTATATGATTATTATGGAATTTGCGTTCACCACCACATTGCACATTGTAACAGTGTCTGTGTTATTGCATTTAATTATATTGAAGGGAATAAACAAAGTGAAAGATTCAGCTGGAAATTTTGCAATGTATACTATAAACGTGTTGACTCTGATCAGTCACTTAGTTGCATTTTTACGACTGGAAATTTCAATCAGTAAAGTGTATCTCATGAAGACATGAAAGGAACAAGTTGTTTTGTGAAAAACACCTAGTTATGGGTCCACATACGTGCTGGGCAACAGATACTGAACTCAGGTATGTTTATCAATGAAAATAGACTGTTTTCTTGTCCAAAGTTTAAAAGTAATCATTTGCTGTGACATGTTGTGAGCTGCACAATACTTGCTGAACACAGCGGGCTTAGTTGCGGACGTCACTGACTGCCCTCCCCTGTGAGCTGCAGAGAGGTCACCATGGTTCAGATGGTATTAAAGGAGGAATCAGGCAGCCTGGGAGCAAACCACAGAGAGAAGTACCACAGAGAGCTGCTGAAGACTGACCACTACACCACAGCGGATCCCAGGACAAGGTAAGCCATCGTGAGCATTGGTGTATGGTTGCTCTGTCCCAGATTGGTGTTGGGATCATGGAATTGTGTCTGTGCTGCTGCCCCAATGGAGCTCCCCAATACGCTGTAAATAATAATAATAATAATCTTTGCATTTGATATAGCGCTTTTCACGTCTTCTAGACGTCTCAAAGCGCTTCACAGGATATGCTGTAAAGTGAGTTGAACGTATATTTGTGGGCGAAACGCGGCAGCCAATTGCGCACAGCAGTGTCCCACAAACAGTCGTTGAAAATGACCAATTTATTATTGTTTTGTTTTGGAGGGATTATTATTATTATTAGTCGTGTGGAGTAAGGAAACTTGCCCAAGATTTTGCCCTGTCTGGAAGTGAAACCAGGTGTCTCGCTTGCAAGGCGAGTGCTCTAACCACTGAGCTACAGGACTCCACGAATATTTACAGCAGCTTTAAGTTGTACAACTTCGACCATTTCTTTTCATTGTTCAGTATTCAACAAATCTGTGCATTCTGGTGACATTGATTTAACAACACAATGATAAAAACCTAGGCTAATTCCTGTATTCTTTAACAGTTGTTTTGAGGAGAAAAACCCTCAACATTAAAGTGTATTTCCCATTCCATCCCAGAAAGCCATGGCGCCCCAGCTCAAGGCACCACCACACCCCCCCAAGGTGCTTCACGGAGACCTGAACAGTCTGAGCGCTGGAGTCAGAAAATTCATCGAGGAGAGTGTGCAGGTGTGTTGTCCAGACGCCATCCACATCTGCGATGGGAGCAGCCAGGAGAACAAGGCGATCCTGGCCATGATGGAGGAAGAGGGCATTATCAAACGTCTGGTCAAGTACGAGAACTGGTGAGTGAGTTTCTTTGCTTTAAAAGGTCTTCTTGGGGAGAATTTTCCTGTTGATCAAAGCAGGATTTGTCAGTGTTGAGATCCTGAGAGGTTTTGCTCCTTCAGAACGAGACACAGGGCACCGCCAATGGCACATTCACAGTAAACTTTACAACCGAACCAGCCTTGCAGATAGTAATAATAAATAATCCTTGCATTTAATATAGTGACTTATCACATCTTGGAGACGTCTCAAAGCGCTTCACAGAATATACTTTAAAATGAATTGACTGTGTATTTTGTGGGTGAAACACCCACAGGTAGTTAGTTACACACCCACTAGGTTGTAGAGTCACGTGGTGACTGGCATTGATTTAGCGTCAGAGCTGGTTCTATCCCCTCCAGTAGCCAGTACACTTGGCGAGGGCAGTGATTTGGTGAGGCTGCCAGTGGAAGCATTCACAGCTATAAAAAGAAACCGAATAAGGAAAAAGACAGAAAAATGTTCATTTTCCTTTGTATTGGACACGTGTCAATATCAAAAACAGAACAATCTTTTTTGTAACATATTTCTACAAAGACAGACAGTGAAAACACACGACTCACCAAAAGCTCCCCAGAAAACAGACTGGATTCTGTTCTCTCACCGTCTTTGGGAAAAGAAAGCAAATGCAGATCACAAGGGTTCTCTGCTTCTTAGAAAGAGTTCAGAACGTTCATATGAAGGTAACCAGATATCCTACAGTAATCTCTCTCTCCTGGATGGTGATTTGAGACCTGAGACAATGTTATTGAACTGAGTCCGAAAAGCTACGATATACTTGTTCCCAAATACAGACACAGTGCAGTAAAGTATTCTATTCTGATACTGATGAGGATTGACTTGCTTGGATGTGGGTTACTGATCAGTTCTTAAACTTGCCCCTTTCAGCTGGCTGGCTCGCACAGACCCCAGGGACGTAGCCCGTGTGGAGTCTAAAACCGTCATCATTACTCCTGAACAGAGGGACACCATCCCCACCCCAAAGCTGGGAACCAGCCTGCTGGGACGCTGGCTGTCAGAGAAGGAGTTTGACAAGGCTTTCAATGCACGTTTCCCAGAGTGTATGAAAGGTACTGAGCTCCAAACTATCCAGATAATAGTTACTCAGTGACTATGCTTTCGCAGGAATTAACTGTGGTTTATTATCACGGTGATTGTTTATATTCATACATTCATGGAAAGCTTACACAAGGAAACCATTCTGCTCATCGTGTCTGTGCTGGTTATCTTCTGTAATCTCATTCACCTATTCTTTCCACGCTGGCGCTTCCCACTCAAATGTCATTCCTCTTCGTGCCTGTGCTTGTTCTCACTCCCCCACTGGAGCTCTCTAATCTAATCCATTCCTTGCTCTTTCCACAAAGCACAGTATCCATTTTCTGTGCTTATTCGAATATCCTGTGCGTAGAAACTTTCCTCCAACAGTCTCTTGCTTTCCATTGCAGGCCGTACAATGTACGTGATTCCGTTCAGCATGGGACCTATTGGATCTCCTCTGTCCAAGATTGGCATCCAGCTCACAGACTCCCCCTACGTGGTGACCAGCTCCAGGATCATGACCCGCATGGGATCAGATGTGCTGAAGGTTCTGGGCAACGAGCAGTTTGTGAAATGCCTTCATTCAGTCGGATGTCCTTTGCCACTAAAGAGTGAGTTGAGCTTCGCTATTACAGCATGAGTGTGGGGAAGCGGAGGGGATGGGAGAGGCTTATCCCCTGTGTTCCAGGACAGCTCTGTGGTTTCTGATTGACACTGAAGTAACAATGTGTTTGTTGTGTTTAGAGCCTTTGGTCAATAACTGGGCATGTAACCCAGAGCTGACATTGGTGGCTCACATCCCACAACGCAGGGAGATCATCTCCTTCGGGAGCGGTTACGGAGGGAACTCGCTGCTGGGGAAGAAATGCTTCGCTCTGCGGATCGCCTCCAAGATAGGCCAGGAAGAGGGCTGGCTGGCCGAGCACATGCTGGTGAGAACACACAATACACAGTCACTCCACTTCACACCATGAGACGTCCTCCTGACGGGAAATGCGCTGTATCAAAGTGAGGATAACAATTATAATTATTATTATTAGTAGTAGTACTATTACAATAGAGGAATGAATATCTGAAGTACACAGTAATGACCTGGATTCACAAAGCCAGTGTAAGCGAGTCACATTTTCATATCACACCACATTGTAAAAACATAAAAGAAGAATTATAAAATCGGACAACAGGCAAAGGTCTTACAAAGGGAACTCGATCAAATACGCACATAATTCATTCCAGGTAAGTGAGACATGAAACACATGTACTCCATGGATGGACAGACAGAGATCAGCTCCAAATGGCACCAGCGTCAGCTGCTCATCAGGCTCTGCTCTTCCTCCACAGATCCTGGGAGTCACCAATCCCGAGGGCCAGAAGAAGTACATGGCGGCAGCGTTCCCCAGCGCTTGTGGCAAAACCAACATGGCCATGATGAGCCCGACGTTACCGGGCTGGAAGGTGGAGTGTGTGGGAGATGACATTGCATGGATGAAATTCGACAAGCAAGGTTTGCTCATTTCCTGCCAGCTTTCATGGCAACCGGTTCGTAATGTGGAGCGTGTATGATTGTGTGAGAAAGTATCACTGTGTTTAATAGGTGTCACTGCAACATATCAGGCAGTACAGAGTAGAGCAATGGGGACGAAGGTTAGAGTGGTGAGCTATGGGAAACAAATCGATAAGCGAGGGATCTTCAGCCTTCAATAGAGTTAACCAGATGGAACGTTATCGAGGTACATAAGGAGCTGAATGGGACTGAGAAAGTAAATCTGGAACAAACCCATCAGGAAGGCAACGAAAGCAGAGAAGATGGCACTGGTTCAGGGATGTGAAGGGAAATTTCATGACGTTCTCCAGGAAGTATTTATTTAGCCAGAGGGTAATTACCAACTGCCACAGGTTCCCGGGAAAGGTGGCTGAGACCAGGAGCTGGACATGTTTAAGTAACAGCTGGATGCTGTGATGGGAGACCCTACTGTGTGTTTGCTGAAAGGATGAGATCTTGTTACTTTACTGTTTATGTGAAGGACAATGTCACTAATGGCCTCTTTTCACAGGTAACCTGAGAGCAATCAACCCTGAAAATGGCTTCTTTGGTGTGGCTCCTGGAACATCATTCAAAACCAACCCAAACGCCATGAAAACCATCAGCAGAAACACCATTTTCACCAATGTAGCAGAGACCAGTGACGGGGGGGTTTACTGGGAGGGCATGGACCAAGCGCCACCTCCCGGGGTCACCATCACTTCGTGGAAAAACAAAGAGTGGTCGTCGAACTATGGAGAACCATGTGCTCACCCCAATTCCAGGTTCTGCTGTCCAGCCAAGCAGTGTCCCATCATAGACCCCGCCTGGGAGTCCCCTGAAGGAGTTCCTATTGAAGCGATCATCTTTGGTGGAAGGCGACCTAAAGGTATTGTAGGCCGAGCTGTGGAGCCAGCTTCTCTCAGCCCCGCAACATACAAAGGGATAAGAGCGCGAGAGCAGAGCCTTCAAACTGTTTCTCTCTGTTCCAGGTGTCCCTCTGGTGTACGAAGCCTTTAACTGGCAGCACGGGGTCTTCATCGGAGCTGCCATGAGGTCAGAGGCGACAGCGGCTGCTGAGCACAAAGGTACCAACGACACACGATAACAACACACGGCAAAAACACACATCACTGTCACACGGCACCGACACACACCAACAAGACATGTCAAGAACACACGCCAACAACATGCAGCAACGACACACACCAGCAATGCACGCCAGCAATACACATGGAACAATAATCTGCAGGAAAGGTTTGGAGAATTCTGCCATCAGCAGCACCGGTTGTTCACAGATCTTGTCCTTGTGTCACAGGGAAGGTCATCATGCACGATCCGTTTGCCATGAGGCCTTTCTTCGGCTATAACTTTGGCAAGTACCTGACGCACTGGCTCAGGATCCAGCACCATCCCAGCGCCAAACTACCCAAGATCTTCCACGTCAACTGGTTCCGCAAGGACAAGCAAGGCAACTTCCTGTGGCCAGGCTATGGGGAGAATTGCCGAGTGCTGGAGTGGATGTGCAGGAGAATCAATGGCGAGGACTGTGCCACGCCATCTCCCATCGGCCTCATTCCTGGAGATAAAGCGCTCAACATCAAGGGCCTCGACAACATTAACTTGACCGAGCTGTTCAGCGTGGAGAAAGAGTTCTGGGAAGAGGAAGTGAAAGCCATCAAGAAGTTTTTTGAGGAACAAGTCAACGAAGACCTTCCCAGGGATGTAGCCAATCAGCTGGTGCAGTTAGAGCAGAAGATAAGGCGATTGTAACAGACACTTGACAAAATTGAAGGTCGATCTCCATATTCCCTTATTTGTTCTCATGAAATGGAACATCCCCTGATAACTTCTCAATCGTAAAGCATCTGTTAACATCTTTCACAATTTTTTTCCACTTAACTATCAGGACATTTACCAAAGTTTTCGCTCACCTCCTGAAGAGCTGGTTTGTTCTTTCAGCCCTTTTGAATTGGTAGGGGAGCAGAACAAGGCCAATAACTGGCCTGTTAACCTGCATGTGTGGCCATAGAGAGGTGGGGTGGAGAGGGGGGGAGTAACACTCAAATCCTTACTCAATGTTCCCTGCTGAAAAGTAGGCATTCATAGACATCCGAATTACAATCGAGCAGAATTGTAGGCGCTATATCAAATTATTACTATCATTTAGATTGAAACTAAAAGACCTTTCAGTGGACATTAAGATTATTGTAAATCGCTACGCTACAACAGTCAGGCGAACTGAGCAACATCATGTGGAATCACGTTGGATTAGACTTATTGCATTATCAAAAACAGCTTCTACTAAAATTATATCCAATATTATTGTCTTAATGTTAAAACTGTCCAATAATTTATAATAATCGTTACCTGGAAAAAAAATTGCCTGTGTTTTTTATAAGTGTGTTTTTTATGTAACTTATTGGGGTTTTAGTAGATGTTTGACATGTGTTAGGAGATGGATAGAGATTTGTCTCTGTTGCTAATACAGTGAGTAAACGAGGCTTCCGTTCATTCAAAAATAAACTTGATTTTTTTGGAATAAAATGCTTTGTCTCTTCTGGTTTGTTTTTACAAAAGATGATCGAAGGCTCAGACACTGACACATTGTATCTGGCAGAATCTTCTGATAACTATTTTACGTTCAGACCACTTATAGAAAAAGCCTGAAGGCGCTATTCTCCACACGAGCCCTCCAAACTGATCTCATTGTAGTGTTCACTCCCCCACTTTCTTCAATATTCCAATTCCACACATGAGGCTTGAACCCACAAATTTCTGACTCAGAGACGAGAGTACTACCACTGAGCCAATCTAACACATTAAACCAAGGTTCCATCTGTCTGTTCAGGTAGACATTAAAGATCCCATGGCACGTTTCAAAAAGAGAACAGAGTTTCTGTCTCCCAGTGTCCTAGCCAACAGTCCCCAAAATAAAATTGGTCGTTCACATCATGACTGTTCGTGAGACAATGCTGTGTGAAATTGGCTGCCCTGTTTGTTCAAAAAATACACAGTCACCTACACTTTCCAATTGTGTTGTGTTAAAAGAGAATATTGGCTCTGGTCTTTTCTGGAAGGACACGTGCAGATACTTTCTCAAAGCTCCAGCTGATCTTCAAAACGGCTACTTTCGCAAGCTGGTCGTTTGAACAGAATTAGTGTATTTCGCACACCCCCCTACAAAAAAAAATCTGAGTCAGATTTGAATAAGAAAATAACACTGCTGAACCTTAGGTATTAATAGGGAATAATGAAGGATTTTAGGCCTATGGAATTTGGTATGCATTTTAACAAAATACAACACAAAATTACATTTGTAAAGTGCCTTTTACATCAGAGGACTTCCCAAGGCACTGAATAGTTAGGGATTAGGCCCGAGAGATGGTGGGGGGTGGGGTGGAGGTGTGGGTATTGGGATCATGGAGGGTGGAAGGCAGAAAGGGTAGGAGGGTGACCGAAGGCATTGTCGAAGACGAGAGTTTTGAGTTGTACCTTTAAGGTGGCGGAGAGGCTGAAGGCCCAACTACTGATGGTGGTACGGGGCAGGCCTGGGCGGGGAACATGCAGCAGCCTGCTGAGTGGAGGAAGCGGACAGGTGGATAAGGGTTAGCAGGTCGGAGAAGGCAGAGTGGGCAAGCTCATTGAGGACCTTGAAGCTGTGAAGGAGAATTTTGAACTCAATCCTCTGAGGAATTAAGTACCAGTGGAGCCAGGCAAGGGTGGGTGTGATGGGGTCACAGAAAATGGTGTGGGATGGGACATGAGCTGCAGAGTTGTGGATAATCTGCAGCTCGTGGAGAGAAGAGTTGGGAAAGCCGACAAGTAGTGCGTTTGCATAGTCGAGCCTGGATATAATGAAGGCAAGTATGAGGGTTTCATTGGCCTGAGGGATGAGGCAGTGACAGAAGCGGGCAATGTTGCAGAGGTGGGGGAAGGCAGAGTGGGTCATGGCATGGATGTGGGGGAGAAAGGACAGTTGAGGGTCGAACAAGGAATCCTAGGTTCCTGACTGGCTTGGTGAGGTGGAGTGTGCATCCATGGATGCTGATGCTGCCAGTCCTTGAGGTGCGGACGCACTGGTGCGAGCTAATCAGGAGGACCTTGGTCTTGCTGACGTTCAACTGTAGAAAGTTGGCTCTCATCCAGGACTTGATGTCTGACAGGCAGTCTTTCAAGACAGCAGTGGTCCAGGAGTCAAGGATAGAGGCAGAGAGTAAGAGTTAGGTACTCATCTGCGTACATGTGGAAGTTGACCCCATATCTGTCGATGATGTTACCAAGAGAAAGCATGTACAGGTTCAAGAGGAGACACAGCCCTGAAGAACACAGTGCGAGATGGTGCGGGGACTGTAAGGGAAGCCATTTGTGGAGGCAAAGTGGAGCTGGTCTGAGAGATAGGATCTGAACCATTGAAGGACAGAACCTTGAAGGTTGAAGTGAAAGGAGAGGAGAGGTGGTGTGGGAGGATAGAGTGGTCCACAGTGTCAAAGGCAGCAGAAAGGTCGAGGAGGTTAAGGATACAGAGGGAGCCCTGGTCATAGATGGACAGAATGCCATTTGTTATCTTGAATTAGGGTTGTTTCTGTGCTGTGGGCAGATTGGAGGGGTTCGTAAAGGGAATGGCAGGAGAGGAAGGAGTGAAACTGAGAAGCAACAACTCTTTCAAGGACCTTGGAAATGAAAGGGAGGTTGGAGATGGGGCAGTAGTTAGTGAGCCAGGATGGATCCAGGGAAGGTTTTTTGGGGATAGGGTGATGACAGCTGTTTTTAGGGGGGTGGGAACAGTGCCAGTTGACAGGAAGAGGTTCACGAGGTCTGAAAGTAAAGAGGCGAGGTGATGGAGCTGGGAGGTAAGGAGAGGGGTAGTAATGGGGTTGAGGGAGCAGATGGTGTGCCTCATGTGGGTTAGATTGGTGGTGAGAGGAGGGGGAAACAGGTTCGAAGGTGTGGAACGAGGGATGGATAGGGGCCAGAGAATGAGGGAGAGATGGGGAAGGGTTGGCAGTTGGGAGGCTGGAGGCAGCTGAAGGGATCCCCTCGATTCCGGAGTGCAATGGCTGGGGTGTCCCTCAAATTCTATTACTTTGACAGAGAACTGTGGGCTATTTATCCCTGTTGATGTGATATTTGCTCAGCAATTTCTTGGTTGTCTCTTCAATGGCTTGTGAACACAATGCCTCATCTATTGTTTTTGGCCTAAACAGGCTAGTGAAAGCGGTCCTTTGCTGAAATGCTCTGAATGAATACTGTTCGCAGGCAAGGAAGAAATCAACAACTTGTATTTATATAGCACTCTTGACGCCAGGCAGTGTCCCAGAACGTTTAACAATGGTGGAGCTCTGTGGATGGCAGAGTTACGGATGAGTTGAATATTGTGAATTGCGGAGGAGGGGAGAGAGGTGATGAAGGCTTGGATAAGGGTTTTGGCAGCTTGTGGAGTGAGGTATTGTCGGAGATGGGAAATGTGGCGGAGATGGAGGAAAGCAGTCCTTGACCAAAACTCAACGGTTTGCCAATTCTGCACTTTGCCAGATATCTATTAACAGAACTTAACAAAAGTCTACATAACAGCGCTTCTCTGTTTCACTGAGTGGTGCATTTGGAAAGGAAATGTTAACCCAATACCGTCAAGTAGAAATTTCTAACCTCACCTTACTTGGTGCACTTTTTCAACAATTTCCACTTCTTCATTAACCCTGTGTTACATGACAGATACAAACAGAACACAGTAGTTATTGTGTTACATTTGTGAAGATGTAATACTGAACACTTATGTACTGCAAATCCACCAGTGAGCAAACCTGGTAGAATGTATTCTTTATCCTAATAATACCAGAATTTTCCAATATTCCGGCACTGTACGATGGCAGCAGCAAATACACCCAATGTACAGAACTAAAAAAGCAGGGGACATTGGACACTGTAATCACTGAAGTAGAAGTTAAAAAAGGGGCAGGAATGGCACAAGATATGCAATTGTATAAATAACGTGCATTATACTATGCTTTTCATTAAATATGTCTCCAAGCAAAATGTAATCTGATACATATGTTTTCTAATAAAAATCCTTGCATTTGAATACAGCATCTTTCACCTCAGGAATGTAGGAGCCAATTTGCACACAGCAACGTCCTACAAACAGAGGCATGTGGAGTAAGGAAACTTGCCCAACGTTTTGCCCTGCCTGGCAATAGTGTCTCAGAGCATGTCTTGGTGCCGAGCCGGAAAGGTGGGGTGGGGAGTGGGGGGAGAGGAGACTGAAAACATGGTTGAAGAGTAAAGCCGCCAGGTGTAATTTGAAGACAGACAAAGATGGAGGGGTTGAGCAAGGTGATTTGGGGCGCAGTAGCTCAAAGCATGGTCACACGATCGTGGATTGAGGGGGTGCAAGTAATGTATAGCAGACCCGTGCCAGTGAGCGAAAGCGATGGGTAGAGGAGAGGGGTGTGAGCAGAAACTATTTAGAATGAAATTAAAATAAAACAAAGTGAAATTAAAATGATGAAGAGACCATGAAAGGAAGAAAGGCAAAGGCAAGTAAATAAGTTAGTTAATTAGCCAGTTTGTAAGTTAGTAAGTAAGTTAGTAAGTAAGATAGTAAGTAAGTTAATAAGTAAGTAGGAACCCAGTTGTTACTCAATTGGCGGATTGCAAGAATCCCTTTTAAAAAAAAATTATTTAGAAACCAATCCAGGACTATTTGTGGGACTCTGCTGTGTGCAATTGGCTGCTGCAAAATACAGTCAATTCAATTTTCAATATATGCTGTGAAGTGCTTTGAAACATCTCAATGATGTGATATATCAAATGCAAGGATTATTCTTATTATTAAAAGAGAAACACAGAAATCAAAGTCTCAAGGAGTAAAAATGAGAAAACATTTTATTATTTTCTATATAAAGTATAAATTTTGCTGTTAAAACATATGTGGGGTTGAGGTAAACCACACATACAATGGAGTTTGCGGTAGAAAAGTAGCACCTGATTGTAAAAGATTAATGCCTCCTTTGCTTCTTTAAGATAATTCAGATTTTTGTTGTGTTTGGATAGTGAAGCATTCGATGCACAAAACAACCACTGTAGTGCTCACCGCACCTCGTGTTAAAAATTAACAATTTTCATCTAACTAAAACTAACAGTATTTTTTCATTGTAAAAACGTATTGTAAACATTTCCCACTGCTGCAGGTATAGCAGACCTTCACTGGAAGCCTAAGCTGTCCTTGTTCATGTACTCTCCAGCACTCACTGGCATTTAAAAATCTTTAGCAGGAATAAGAAGGTACAATGCATCAAAATGTCCAGAAATCCCTGTGGAAAAATGCAGTTTGTAGAGCATTTTTTACACTTGTGATTCTAACTGGAAAGGTGCAGCTAATCCTAAACTTCCCAAACAGCTCTTATAATGGCCTGATAATCAAGATTAAAATTCTCAATAAACTAACCTTCTCAAGAGCAGCCGATAGCGTGATAGACAACATTGTGCTTATTAACCTCGAAAATCAGATAGTGAACAAACAGTGGAAGTGGGTCCAAATCTGGACCTGCAGTGCTTTTCCTCAAGATATATCTTTAAAGTTTAGTGTATGTTAGCCATCGCTGGATTTAATGTGTCCATTTTACAGAGCCTCAGACCAGAGGTAAGAACATGATCTGTTACTAAATACGTACTTTCTGGACTATGCTGGTAATAAGCAGCTTGTTAATGCACATATCTCCTGAGCTATTTCCTACTGGTTTACTTTCTCGACCATCACCACCAAAATAAATAAACAGTGAAGTGTGCTCTTGTGTGATATGAACCACCCTTATTTGAACATGGATTGGATGCATCCTGTGTGCGTATAGAATGCCCCCGCATATCTGAAGTCAACAGAATCATACAGATCGTGTTAAATTGAACACTTACGGCATTAATCAACATCACAAAATTACACTCAGTTGTCTATCAAAACCACCAAAACCAACTCTCTTGCTAGTTCTGTCAAGTATCTGTTACAATCGCCTTATCTTCTGCTCTAACTGCACCAGCTGATTGGCTACATCCCTGGGAAGGTCTTCGTTGACTTGTTCCTCAAAAAACTTCTTGATGGCTTTCACTTCCTCTTCCCAGAACTCTTTCTCCACGCTGAACAGCTCGGTCAAGTTAATGTTGTCGAGGCCCTTGATGTTGAGCGCTTTATCTCCAGGAATGAGGCCGATGGGAGATGGCGTGGCACAGTCCTCGCCATTGATTCTCCTGCACATCCACTCCAGCACTCGGCAATTCTCCCCATAGCCTGGCCACAGGAAGTTGCCTTGCTTGTCCTTGCGGAACCAGTTGACGTGGAAGATCTTGGGTAGTTTGGCGCTGGGATGGTGCTGGATCCTGAGCCAGTGCGTCAGGTACTTGCCAAAGTTATAGCCGAAGAAAGGCCTCATGGCAAACGGATCGTGCATGATGACCTTCCCTGTGACACAAGGACAAGATCTGTGAACAACCGGTGCTGCTGATGGCAGAATTCTCCAAACCTTTCCTGCAGATTATTGTTCCATGTGTATTGCTGGCGTGCATTGCTGGTGTGTGTCGTTGCTGCATGTTGTTGGCGTGTGTTCTTGACATGTCTTGTTGGTGTGTGTCGGTGCCGTGTGTCAGTGATGTGTGTTTTTGCCGTGTGTTGTTATCGTGTGTCGTTGGTACCTTTGTGCTCAGCAGCCGCTGTCGCCTCTGACCTCATGGCAGCTCCGATGAAGACCCCGTGCTGCCAGTTAAAGGCTTCGTACACCAGAGGGACACCTGGAACAGAGAGAAACAGTTTGAAGGCTCTGCTCTCGCGCTCTTATCCCTTTGTGTGTTGCGGGGCTGAGAGAAGCCGGCTCCACAGCTCGGCCTACAATACCTTTAGGTCGCCTTCCACCAAAGATGATCGCTTCAATAGGAACTCCTTCAGGGGACTCCCAGGCGGGGTCTATGATGGGACACTGCTTGGCTGGACAGCAGAACCTGGAATTGGGGTGTGCACATGGTTCTCCATAGTTCGACGACCACTCTTTGTTTTTCCACGAAGTGATGGTGACCCCGGGAGGTGGCGCTTGGTCCATGCCCTCCCAGTAAACCCCCCCATCACTGGTCTCTGCTACATTGGTGAAAATGGTGTTTCTGCTGATGGTGTTCATGGCGTTTGGGTTGGTTTTGAATGATGTTCCAGGAGCCACACCAAAGAAGCCATTTTCAGGGTTGATTGCTCTCAGGTTACCTGTGAAAAGAGGCCATTAGTGACATTGTCCTTCACATAAACAGTAAAGTAACAAGATCTCATCCTTTCAGCAAACACACAGTAGGGTCTCCCATCACAGCATCCAGCTGTTTCTTAAACATGTCCAGGTCCTGGTCTCAGCCACCTTTCCCGGGAACCTGTGGCAGTTGGTAATTACCCTCTGGCTAAATAAATACTTCCTGGAGAACGTCATGAAATTTCCCTTCACATCCCTGAACCAGTGCCATCTTCTCTGCTTTCGTTGCCTTCCTGATGGGTTTGTTCCAGATTTACTTTCTCAGTCCCATTCAGCTCCTTACGTACCTCGATAACGTTCCATCTGGTTAACCCTATTGAAAGCTGGAGATCCCTCGCTTATCGATTTGTTTCCCATAGCTCACCACTCTAACCTTCGTCCCCATTGCTCTACTCTGTACTGCCTGATATGTTGCAGTGACACCTATTAAACACAGTGATACTTTCTCACACAATCATACACGCTCCACATTACGAACCGGTTGCCATGAAAGCTGGCAGGAAATGAGCAAACCTTGCTTGTCGAATTTCATCCATGCAATGTCATCTCCCACACACTCCACCTTCCAGCCCGGTAACGTCGGGCTCATCATGGCCATGTTGGTTTTGCCACAAGCGCTGGGGAACGCTGCCGCCATGTACTTCTTCTGGCCCTCGGGATTGGTGACTCCCAGGATCTGTGGAGGAAGAGCAGAGCCTGATGAGCAGCTGACGCTGGTGCCATTTGGAGCTGATCTCTGTCTGTCCATCCATGGAGTACATGTGTTTCATGTCTCACTTCCCTGGAATGAATTATGTGCGTATTTGATCGAGTTCCCTTTGTAAGACCTTTGCCTGTTGTCCGATTTTACAATTCTTCTTTTATGTTTTTACAATGTGGTGTGATATGAAAATGTGACTCGCTTACACTGGCTTTGTGAATCCAGGTCATTACTGTGTACTTCAGATATTCATTCCTCTATTGTAATAGTACTACTACTAATAATAATAATTATAATTGTTATCCTCACTTTGATACAGCGCATTTCCCGTCAGGAGGACGTCTCATGGTGTGAAGTGGAGTGACTGTGTATTGTGTGTTCTCACCAGCATGTGCTCGGCCAGCCAGCCCTCTTCCTGGCCTATCTTGGAGGCGATCCGCAGAGCGAAGCATTTCTTCCCCAGCAGCGAGTTCCCTCCGTAACCGCTCCCGAAGGAGATGATCTCCCTGCGTTGTGGGATGTGAGCCACCAATGTCAGCTCTGGGTTACATGCCCAGTTATTGACCAAAGGCTCTAAACACAACAAACACATTGTTACTTCAGTGTCAATCAGAAACCACAGAGCTGTCCTGGAACACAGGGGATAAGCCTCTCCCATCCCCTCCGCTTCCCCACACTCATGCTGTAATAGCGAAGCTCAACTCACTCTTTAGTGGCAAAGGACATCCGACTGAATGAAGGCATTTCACAAACTGCTCGTTGCCCAGAACCTTCAGCACATCTGATCCCATGCGGGTCATGATCCTGGAGCTGGTCACCACGTAGGGGGAGTCTGTGAGCTGGATGCCAATCTTGGACAGAGGAGATCCAATAGGTCCCATGCTGAACGGAATCACGTACATTGTACGGCCTGCAATGGAAAGCAAGAGACTGTTGGAGGAAAGTTTCTACGCACAGGATATTCGAATAAGCACAGAAAATGGATACTGTGCTTTGTGGAAAGAGCAAGGAATGGATTAGATTAGAGAGCTCCAGTGGGGGAGTGAGAACAAGCACAGGCACGAAGAGGAATGACATTTGAGTGGGAAGCGCCAGCGTGGAAAGAATAGGTGAATGAGATTACAGAAGATAACCAGCACAGACACGATGAGCAGAATGGTTTCCTTGTGTAAGCTTTCCATGAATGTATGAATATAAACAATCACCGTGATAATAAACCACAGTTAATTCCTGCGAAAGCATAGTCACTGAGTAACTATTATCTGGATAGTTTGGAGCTCAGTACCTTTCATACACTCTGGGAAACGTGCATTGAAAGCCTTGTCAAACTCCTTCTCTGACAGCCAGCGTCCCAGCAGGCTGGTTCCCAGCTTTGGGGTGGGGATGGTGTCCCTCTGTTCAGGAGTAATGATGACGGTTTTAGACTCCACACGGGCTACGTCCCTGGGGTCTGTGCGAGCCAGCCAGCTGAAAGGGGCAAGTTTAAGAACTGATCAGTAACCCACATCCAAGCAAGTCAATCCTCATCAGTATCAGAATAGAATACTTTACTGCACTGTGTCTGTATTTGGGAACAAGTATATCGTAGCTTTTCGGACTCAGTTCAATAACATTGTCTCAGGTCTCAAATCACCATCCAGGAGAGAGAGATTACTGTAGGATATCTGGTTACCTTCATATGAACGTTCTGAACTCTTTCTAAGAAGCAGAGAACCCTTGTGATCTGCATTTACTTTCTTTTCCCAAAGACGGTGAGAGAACAGAATCCAGTCTGTTTTCTGGGGAGCTTTTGGTGAGTCGTGTGTTTTCACTGTCTGTCTTTGTAGAAATATGTTACAAAAAAGATTGTTCTGTTTTTGATATTGACACGTGTCCAATACAAAGGAAAATGAACATTTTTCTGTCTTTTTCCTTATTCGGTTTCTTTTTATTGCCAAATAACTGAGTAATTTATTAATCTGTGAATGCTTCCACTGGCAGCCTCACCAAATCACTGCCCTCGCCAAGTGTACTGGCTACTGGAGGGGATAGAATCATCTCTGACGCTAAATCAATGCCAGTCACCACGTGAATCTACAACCTAGTGGGTGTGTAACTAACTACCTGTGGGTGTTTCACCCACAAAATACACAGTCAATTCATTTTAAAGTATATTCTGTGAAGCGCTTTGAGACGTCTCCAAGATGTGATAAGTCACTATATTAAATGCAAGGATTATTATTTATTATTACTATCTGCAAGGCTGGTTCGGTTGTAAAGTTTACTGTGAATGTGCCATTGGCGGTGCCCTGTGTCTCGCTCTGAAGGAGCAAAACCTCTCAGGATCTCAACACTGACAAATCCTGCTTTGATCAACAGGAAAATTCCTCCCAAGAAGACCTTTTAAAGCAAAGAAACTCACTCACCAGTTCTCGTACTTGACCAGACGTTTGATAATGCCCTCTTCCTCCATCATGGCCAGGATCTCCTTGTTCTCCTGGCTGCTCCCATCGCAGATGTGGATGGCGTCTGGACAACACACCTGCACACTCTCCTCGATGAATTCTCTGACTCCAGCGCTCAGACTGTTAAGGTCTCCATGAAGCACCTTGGGGGGGTGTGGTGGTGTCTTGAGCTGGGGCGCCATGTTTTTTACCACACCACTCACAGTCCTGCAAAATCACAATCACACCAGGTTACAATGGGAAACACACTTTCGTTGTTCAGGACTTTTCACCTGTAAATAACTGTTAAAGAATACAGGAATTAGCCTCGGTTTTTATCATTGTTTTGTTAAATCAATATCACCATAACGCACAGATTTGTTGAACCACTTTTCAGGGGATGAAAAAAAAATGATCAATGAAAATTGTCGTATAACTTAAAGTTGAGGTAAATATTTGAAATTAAAGCTGCCCTGAAATTTTCCTTGTGTGTTTCTGAGATGAGCTTCACTTACTGTTTTTCTCCGCCTTAGAGGAGTTCCAATCAGCTGGCCCAATCCTCTTCCTCTGTCTCGTTCTGAGCAAGTCAAGCTTAAACTGCTCACTGTCTCTGATGAGCTCCCCAAAGTTGTCGAGCCCTTTAAGTACAGAATTTGGGAGCTTCTCATTAGCTGGGGATGAGGGTGTTGCCTTGGTCATCATTGATAAAGGACACACCTCCTCAAACGTAGTTAATGCATAATCTAATAAAAAATAATCTGTAGATAACATCTGACCCTGGGATCAACAATCAATAGCAATAGATTTTTTTTCAGATGAGGCTTGCAATACGCACATTGTAGACAGCAAGTGCAATACTTTGACCTGTTCATGATGTAATGGCAATTTTTGTTTTGTGAAAGGGTTTTGGATTTGACCAATAGAGCTCCAACCATTTTGTCACGCTTGCTGCTCCAATCAGCTCTTTGTAAAGCCTGACACACCTGCGGAGCTGAAGAGCCCCTGGTCTGGTAGGTCGCTGGTTGGTCTGGGACCTGAAGGCTTGGTCTGGGTGTATTTCCAACCCACTGTAACTCTGCAACTCAAAATAGAATAAAATACTTTGTTTGTCAGCCAGGTGTTTGATACACACGGAAACCCATCACCGTGCTTAAGAGTATCCAAATCAAATTGAGAATTCCATGCTTCCCAACTACACATGGAAATTCCAGAGGAAATAAATCTGCTGTTAATGTAGATTCCTGAAATCTTACTCATTGTTGGTAAATCTAATAATAATAAACCTTCGAGACGTCTCAAAGTGCTTCACAGAATATACTGTAAAGTGAATTGACTGTATATTTTGTGGGCGAAATGAGGCAGCCAATTGCGCACAGCAGTGTCCCAAAAACAGTCATGGATTAAAGTGACCAATATTTTTAAGGAGTTATTACCCCGGAGAAACGATCTGCCAATCAACTAACAACTGGGTTCCTACTTACTGCTAGATAAACAGTAAATGTGTGTGGAGTCAGGAAGCTTTTACCAATAATTCGCCCTGCCAGAAATCGAACACAGGTTTCTCGCTTGCGAGGCAAATGCTCTAACTACTGAATTTCAGGACTCCAATCTCACTGAAATATCCTCTATCATACTGTCTTTTTCAAAAATATTTTATGCATTGTGTTCTTGAATGGGCAGCTGGACTTGATAGTAATCCTTATCCTTGCATTTGATATAGATGATGGATGTTATTTCCTGTGAATATTAATGTATATCATTATTTTGTCACATTCTCCCTCCTCTCCTAAAGAGGCTGACTAACACCAGGGTACATCATCCAAAAGCATGAGCGCCCCACTGGTGCCCGAGCCAAATGCCGTCTTTTGGGAACCTGAAAAGTTTCTCGGGAATGACTTCCTGACACAATGCAGCAACTGCCAGCATTATTTCCAGTCCCCGCACTGTGTCCTCCCAATTACCGGCTCATCCCACTACCACGAGAGGATGTTCGCCAGGGAGAGAGGAAGGGAGCGGTGTAGAAAACTACCAGATTGCCACAGAGAATTGACTCGATTCTGATCTCTTGCCAGGCACAACATCTGGGAGTCAACCTGTTCTCAAGAACATTCCCCCCTCCCCCTCGAGGATAGTCAACAGTTAGTCAGTAGAAATCTGACAAGCACAGGTTTGAGCACAAGTTGTGCCTGATGAGCAGCGTGGGAGGCTCTCCACATGTGGGCCACTCCACCACAACTTGAGCTTAAAATAGCACAGACCAGAAATTGAACTGGAGTCTTCCTGATCTTTATGGGCCAGTGCCAGCAACATAGTGCTATAATAATAACAATAATCCTTGCATTTGATATAGTGCCTTATCACGGCATTGAGATGCTATAGCAACCTTATAGTATCTGTGGATATACTGAAGATTCTTAGATATTACTTTCACTGTAATTGTCATCAAATTAGCCTAATTGCGAGATATCACTTAGGTCTTCATTACATATCCTATATCTTCTCTGTATTGTTAAAGTTACAGCATCAGCTCACAATCTCAATCATTCAATGGGTAATTACCTTGGGACCCGCACAGGGCTCTACAACTCTACATCAACAGGCGTACGACATTTCTTACCTTTTCCTGATTCCTGTTTTCTATTCTCATGATACTCACTGTCGAATGGCAGTTTCCATGACTCAATTCTGTAATACAAGAAGCAGTTATATATATGATACTATGATCTGACAAGCAGGAGATATTCATCTTAATGACTGATCAAGGGGAAATATCAGAGCTGAAATATAGCATGTTAGAGATGTCTCAGAGGGGAAGTTATAGATATAACATTCTAAACAGATAAACACAGAATTATACTTTCTTATGGCAAGGCAGGAGGATTACAGGGCCCACGTTCAAGGATATCAAGGGCAATTTTAGGACAGATAGAAGTATTTCTTTGCACAAACTGGAACAGTTTATCAAGAAGTGCAGAGCTCAAGGCTCAAGAAATGCCTCGATTCTGAAATTGGAATTTGCTGGTTAGAGTGGACCAATAACCAATCTCTGGAACTCAGTAACTTTTCTGATGAGTTGACAATTATCTTGCTGGCAGAAATTATTTGGACTTTAGTTTTTGAAGGAATGATATTTATTTTAAGAGGTAAAGTCTGAGGTGGCCATTTGCAGAGAGAACATTAGTAGGCATCTTTTATTTCATTTACGTTGTGTATTTTTATCCACAGTGTGTGGTGGTTGTTTGCTAAATCAATCACATTTTGCAGATAATGCATTGTGTTTCCTTTGGAAAGGAGCCATGTTTATTCAGGACGTGATATCTGAGATAGGTAGACATAGAATACGCAAGTGGCATTATCTTCTAGATGCTTCGATCATGCTCACAGAAAAGACATGGTGTTGCTTCTGATTTATGCAAACATTGCACAAAATCTCTGGGAACCAAACCGGCACAGCTTGGGTGCAGCTCAAAAGCTCTTGGTTTCTGGTGACTACGTGACTTTTTTAAAAAATATTTGACTGAAAAAATCTTGCTATCCTCCAAATGGGGAAAAAAGTATTATAGTTGCAAAAACATGTTAATCCGTGCCAAGACCCAGCATGATTGCAATTCAGGGGTCAATGTGTTTTTGGAAAGCATCTAACCCTCGGCACTATTGACGATAACACTAGTTATTTATTCTTCGTGCATCACCAGACTCTGATGTATATTAAATTTTTATCATTTCACCTGCATGAACCGTATCTTGATTCGAAACTTTTCTTGGTTTGAATGGCATTTCCTGACGTACTTATCACAAGGTGACGTCGCATGTGGTCTTAATATTTTCTTCCAGTTTTAGTCTCAGACAATTGAACCAAATTGTGATTGCATCATATCATATGTCATTCAGGTTTCATCTCAACCGTTTTTCCAGTGGCTGTCACTGATGACTAGCAGCATGAAGAAGTCCAATAAGCCTTGATTATTCTTTACCTACTTCTGTCATCGCTGGGGAGGACACAGCTGAAAATGAAGATAAGGAAGAGGCCACAGCAAGTGTTTTGCCCAGGAGTCTGACACATGCAAAAATCCCATCATCCTGCTTAAGAGTATCCAAACTGAGAATTCTATGCATCCACCTACACATTGAAATTCCAGAGATATATTGGTGGAATACAATGTGCACCCTCTCCCTGGAGTTACACATCCGTCTTACTAATTACGGAAAGTGTTCGGCCCAGGTTGGCAAAAGCCAAAGCTTGGGGACCCCAGAATGTGCATTGGCGTAACTGCTGAAGTCTAACCAGCTAAAACTACATAGTTTGGCATTGATATACCACTGTTACAGTGTAAGCCTACATGCTGCTTGTCCAGCTAAGATCAGCTACCTGTTTGGACTTTGGCTTGCAGGGTTAACAGGAACTGAGTGGGAGAATTCCCTGCTCCCAGTGACTGGTCTGCCCTTCCAAGTCCTGTCGATGAGCCAGACTGGCTGTGCTGTGATCAGCAGTGCCTGGCTCAGGAACCTGACTAGAGACCGTCATAGAGGACTGACTCAATTCCGACATTTCGTTGGCAGGCATGTCAACTTGGAACCAGTGCCCTGTTTGTACACACAAAATTATTCCACCTGCCTCAGGTACATTTGAATCCAGGTCCCCCCAAACCCCACCCCCCCCAAACCTCACCCCCAAGGGATCGCGGAAGTGGCACAAACGGAAAACTGACTTCACCCGGCGTCCACCGCCTAACCTGAGCTCTTATGGCCAATTCTTGGTAAGTGCTGTAAACGTGCCACCACAGAAGGAGTTGCCCTCACGTGGGAGGACAACTCCATTAAACTTCATTAAAAACAGTGAGGGCAAAAGTCATAGACAGTTAGCTGTGATCTATAGTATTGGCAGAACACAAGTTGGATGCATCTCAAAAGGTAGGCTGAAAACATGACAGCTTTTGTTTTAAATGTGACAATGCCTTTATTTTAATGAGATTGCAAAGTATGGTTGTTGAATGTTCATCAGCCTTACCCTGGAATGCATTGCCTGAAAGGGTGGTCGAGGCCGATTCGATAACTACTTTTAAAAACGCGGTGGACGGGTATTTAATAATAATAATGATCCTTGCATTTGATATAGCGCTTTTCACGTCGGGAGGACGGCCCAAAGCGCTTCACAGAACACACTGTAAAGTGAATTGACTGCATATTTGTGGGCGAATGCGGCAGCCAAATGCACACAGCAATGTCCCACAAACAGTCGTAGATTGAAAATGACCAATTTATTATTGTTTTGGGGTTTTTTTTTGGAGGAATTATTATTAGGCTCTGTGTGGAGTAAGGAAACTTGCCCAAGGTTTCGCCCTCTGCCTGGAAGTGAACTCAGGTCTCTCGCTTGCAAAGCGAGTGCTCTAACCACTGAGCGACAGGACTCCACATTTGAGGAGGACGGGTTTGCAGGGTTATGGGGAAAGGGCTGGGGAGTGGGAATGACATTAATTGCTGTATTCAACTCGATGGGCCAAATGGCCTCTTTTTGTGCTGCATGATTCTATGATTCTATGATTACCAATGCCCTTAACATCACATCAGTCCTGAATCACCCGACCTGTTTCAATAATCAGATCACCTAGGTCACTTTTGTCCAGTCACTTGAGTGACCGGATTAGTGAGGTTCTACTGTATTAACAAAAT